GACAGGTGATAGTAATATACCCACTGACAGGTGACAAGTAATAGTAATATACCCACTGACAGGTGACAGGTGATAGTAATATACCCACACACTGCTCATAATGGCTGATGGGTGTAGGGTCAGATACTCATATATATACATATACTATCATATATGAATATACAAAGATTAAGAAGCAGTCAGGAACAATATAACATAAAGATCAGTGTTGACTGAGAGTTCCTGTAACTGTTACAGTTTGTCTCTTGCTTCGATGCCACACACTTCCTGTCTGTGCAGTAACTGACACTTAGATGTGTGTGTGTGTGTGTGTGTGTTATGAAAGCATGATCTCAGTGAGGAAATTACAGATACTCAGTTATGTGACTATATTCGACACAATCTTTATAAAAGTCGCTCAGTTGCTGTGTTATTTGTCAGAATTATGTTATTTTGTAAAATAAAAGCATGGTCTTAAAACCTGATAAATAACAATGTACATACTCATCAGTAATGGATATTATAGGGTACTTCCTGTGTTCCTCTGATGACTGAATATGATAGGGCTATAATACAATCGCCATGCTGTTAGCTAGCTGACTAATGAATTTTCGCTCTGTGTGGCTAGGATTTGCAGATTGATTGACGGGTGAATGTTATTCTTATGTAAGCATGTGTCACATTTTGTTTTACAGGATGAAAAGAGTATTGTCTTTTAATATAAAATACACAGAATTGTGCAATATGTATGTCATAATGATTGTAAGTACATTATTTGGCATACATTGTTAAATAGGGTTACAAAAGACTGTAGATTTGATCTTTAAGGGTTAACTTATCTTCGCTCTAAATGTGTAATTTCTATCTTTCATGTCACATTTCTTAGGACTTTGTAGCTGTGAAATGTTGACAGCTCCCACTTCATGAGAAATAAAAACCCCAAAGACCAGTCTGCGTCAGTGTTACCGTTTGACCATTAATGGCTATGGTGAGACTGGTAGAAGGAAGTGATTCTGCTCTCATTGAACATAAACTAGACAACAAACTGAATGATGAGGAGCTCTGGGTATGAAGTGAGATTTTTGAATGTCGTTATGAACCAGAGTTTCAATACTGATACCTGATTCTGATTCTTTTTTCAATACTTTACTTTAAGGAAAATATGAGCATATCCTACAAACAGAACAAGTGCCACTGACAAACTGTAACTTGTATTGTAAGAATGAATCATATTGGTTTACAAGATTCCAGTTCTAGGTTTATGAAATCATTCGATAAAGTTACCACTGGACAGCTGGACTGGGCTCTCAGACTTTAAAGGGGTTCATGTCTTCATGGCAGGAACTATTTTATGCTTCGGAGTTTCCAAAGGTTCAATCCTCAGACCTCTTCTATTTTACATCAACATGCTTCCATTATACAAAACAGTATCTTCAACTATGCAGACAACACCTGAATTTACCACAAAGTGACGACCTGTACCTCCATTCTGCGAGGGCAGTAAACAAGTAAATGATTGGATGTGACTGAACTTTCTCCAGCTAATTGCCGACAACTAAAGGTTTCTAATCTGTTTTTTAATTAGTGTGCAATTACAACTTGTGTTTAAAAATAAAAAATCTAATCTAATCTATGTAGAGTTGTTCAGATTTGTTGGATGGGAATCAAGACTGGGTTCCAAAAAGGCATCAGAGTTTATCAGTTCCTTTTATTGATGCTGGCATGTTTTTCTGACAGTTGTACATTGCTAAACCAAGATGTCAGCCTCTGGCGTCTGCGCTGAGTCATGACGGAGAAGAAGAAAAGGCTCAAAGCTTCATGTCACACCGACAATAGGCAGCTTTCTTCACCATTCAATTAAATTTTTATTGAACATAAGCTTAAATTCTAGGAATGCAGCGTGTTTTACTCTCTACGCACTGACTGACTTAAATTTTAGGGATGGAAATCAAGATGATTGTCTGAGGCCTGCCAGTGTGAGAGGGGCTGTTCTACAGAGTGTTCAGACTCAGAGATAATAAAACGATCGCATTGACGCTGAAAATCTGCAGGGTTCCCGCTCTTTTTATGAAATCATTTTCCAGTAGTTTTTTTGACAGTACAGGACAGCAGTTGCTCACAAACGGTGGTCAGTGTTTATGGGCTTGTTAGCTCACTTTTGTGGAGCGCTTGGCAGTCTTTCTGCTTTCTGAATAGACCTTTTTCACAGCGGCTGTTTTGACATGAAGTAGTAGAGTAAACTCAGGTGTTACCAATGATACTAACTAAGCTCAGTTCCATTTAGTGTAGCAGAGCCAACATGTCCCCTCATTCACAGGATAAAATACAATTCAATATTACCAGGACAACAGAGATCATTTCCAAGAAGCATGGGAACCCTAAATCTGTGGGAATTGATATAGAATCGGACCAATAAGGAGATCAGAGTGTTGAAGGCTTATAATGTGAAATACCAAAGAAAGAACGACTAATTTTGACCGCTTTATATTTAGACCTTTTTGACGCATCAGAGCTGAGCATCGTGTGAATAAAATGAAACACCTCCATTGAACAGCTCGTGTTCTTATTTTAAACTCTTATCTCTGCTCAAAGGTTGTTGGGCTCCTTCAGATCAGATACAGATAGTGAGTTTGTCTGCAGCTCTGAACCACATTCTCTCCAAACCTGAACCCGCACTGTCTGCCTCAGCCTCAGAAACAGGAAGTGGTTCTGTGTCAGCTGGCTGACTAAGGCAGACGATGCGCTGTTGATGTTATTATTTACTGCTCTTTGTTCTCTCACCTCCCGTTATAGTGTCAGTCTGGTTTACCATTGGCCATTTCACATTAAACCTGGTCTTTGTTTAGTCCCCATCGATGTGATGTATGAAAAACCGCACAACGTTATCAACCTACAGTTTCCACAGGTGCATGATGTGAAAGCTGAGGGCTCATGAGACCTCTAACAAACTGCAACTCAGTCTTTTATTGTTGAAGAACAAATGATATTCCTTTAAAAACGGATTGAGGCAAGATTCCAATTCTAGTTTCTAGTTTCAAGAACTGGAAAGCTGATGCTCTCAGGCTCACAGCTAAAGTGGTTTGTCAGATCTTCTACATAACATTTACATGCTTCCATGAGCAGGCGACCACTCAGAGCTGCTGCAGGCTGCTTCTAAAATGTCTCAGCAAAGTGCGTCGTTGAAGAACAACTGTGTTGCCTGTTTGGAGTTCCCCAAGGCTCAATCCTCTGACCACTTCTATTTAACATTTACATGCTTTCATTAGGCCACTTGTTCCCAACCTATCAATGACCAGAGATTTGATTATTTCCTGTGAATATTGATCTGATTGAGTTCCGGATATTTTTACACAATTATCCGTCTGTATTTTGTATTTTTATCATTTTTAACAATCAAATAGACAATTTTTTGACTCCTTGATGAATTAAGCATATTCTGGGCGCCCGGTTAGCTCAGTGGGTAGAGCTGGTGATCCATGTAC